ACATATATAAAAACACACAAAAATATAAATTATAACATTTATCATTCAAAAAATATATATATATATATATATATATATATATATATATATATATACATGTATATGTGTATATATACATACATTATTTCTTGTCTCCATTCTACTATAAGTTGATCAGAATATGTAGTTTATATATTAAAATCATCATTGTAGATATATATACCCCCACACACACACATATATATATACATATATATATACATATATATATATTTATATATACATATATATATATATTTATATATACATATATATATATTTATATATACATATATATATATATATTTATATATATTTATATATATATATTTATTTATATATATATTTATGTATTATTCTTATTTATTTTTGTTTTCCTATATATATTTATACATTTATATATTGCTTTGTAGTACTGTTACGGTTCATTCCACAATTTTTTAGCATGCATAACATTGAATTTTTACTCCCCTATATTAATGATTGCCTGCATGCAATAGATAACTGACGATGGTAGTAGACTGCCGAAACACGTCTTATTGGGGCCGTTAGGCCATAACTTATTGGATTAAATACAGGCTTTGCCTATGATGAAGATACGATCTGTTGTGTTGTTTTTGAAAATTATTAGCTGTCTGCTGTTCGATCATTCTTTTGGCAATTTACATATATATATATTTATATATATATTTATATATATATATATACATAGGTACGTATATATATATATATATATAAACAAAAACTCCGGAGAGATGGTAATAAGTTGCCAGATATATAATTTTATTCAAGTGAGCAACGTTTTCGGTTATCAACCTTTGTCAGGCTAAAGAAAAACATGAGAATAGCAAAATATATAGCATATGGAAGGCTGAAAAAATGGTTCCACAGAACAGAATGCATCAATATATATTTGGTATAATCGGAAGAGGGTGAATTACCTCCTCCCTGGTGTAATAGTCATTCGACTGCCGAAATTGACGAAAACTTTTTGGAAATTTTCGATTCTGCATGCCAAGAACTCGCGGAGCAACAATGCGGCGCTCCATACATTTTGTCATTTGACAGGGCGCGGCCGAAATTGACCTAGGCAAGCCAAAATGGTTTTGGAAATTTTCGAGTTTGTCAGCAGACAGATCGGGCCCAATATTCAGTTTTCCCTAAAGACGATCGGGCCCGCTTTTGAAAAGTGGGCCCGATTGTCTCGTGTGCCCGATCGTCTGTCACCCACCGATTTCGAGGCTGGGAACTTGGATGGCAAGCGACCTCTACACACGAGGTGGTCGCGTTGAGCCATAGAGATATAATACTGTACTTTCTATTAAAAATCTGGCGGCCGAAATGAGCGGTGGCTGAATTGAAATGAGTCCTAGGCCTAGATCATATATGAAGAATGTTTTACGTATTTTTGCAAACATAGCCTACTACAGATATTACCTTTCTTCTCTACACATTTATTTTTTATATGCTGTGGCTATACTTAAGTCAAAGTGATCAAAAATAAATAAATAAAGAAATAAGGCTGTCATGCAGCATTGCTCAAAAGGATTCTAGAACATCTATCAAGGAGATCTCCAAAACACAACTGTCAAAACAATATATATATCTATATATATATATATATATATATCCTAATTCCTCCCAAATACGAGGAAATGAATTAATTACAGAAGTTGAATTTCTAAGTATTTGTTCCGGAGAATGTGTGAATAAATTTAAGATGTTCGAAGTGTCTTTTTTTAATTGCTATATAATTTAAGATATTTATATTTGCTTGACAGTATAATGATTTAGCTATAAAACTCAATGTAATATACCTAATTCTATTAACAACTGACATCATATTAAGTATTTTGAAACATTCAACTTTTACACTAAGCCACACTGGCACTAGGCCTATATATCGAACATACAGTTAGTGCCTGATGCACTCAGAACACCAGCCTTTAAAATTAGGGAAAATGTAGATCCGGGAAAAATCACCAGCGCTGTATCAGCGTTAGCATTTTTAAATATATCAACATAACAAGGGACCAGAACATAAACAATACAGTTGTTGTACTGTATGTCTCAATCAAGTCACGAACTGTTTTTATGACTTGCTTTTTGATAAAATTTTTGGCCTTCTTTGAGGTATATTTTAACCTTTTTAGGATGGTTTTAAAGTGTTTTTATAATGTATTTGCTATTTGTGACATTTATTTATAATCCTGTAGTTCTTGTATTTATGGTGTTTTAATCACGATCTTATGGCAGAACAGCGTGAATTATTGAATAAGTTTTCATGAATAAATAAAGTGACTATACTATACTATAAGGCCCATAGAATAACAAAGCCTGCCAGGACATAAATTAAATATAGTATGCAAGTTGCTATGACCGCATAATGCATATTATTAAGTCAGTGGTGATGTCATCACTTTCATTTGCATTGAATATTCCTATTCCCGACTGATCACTAATTTGATATAGTGCCTCTGATTTCTTGTCTTGTGTGCAAAAACCTCAAAGCTGGGCTAATTTTACTAAAGTATACCACGATGGAATAATTCGTTGCCACCTAGGCAAGCTATGACGCACACAGCGAACCTAACAAATCTCGCTGTACGGCACTGGTTAACATGTTCGCTGTTCTACACATGGGCCCATGATGCTCACAGGACCAAATGGCTTCAATGTCTCATTTGAGGACTTGCTTTTCAGCTGAACAAGGAGAGTGGCGACCAGGAGATCTCCACGGTTCAGTGCACACACAGTGGCTACCACCAGTTTAGCCTCTCTATGACCACAAGCAACTTTGGATAGGAAAAAAACATTTTTAATGTGTATTTTTTTTATTTTTTTTTTTTTAAGACAGAAAAAAGTTTGATGAAAAACTGGGGAACGGTGAATGAGATACAGATTTTTGAATATTTAAAAACGGGGGAAAAGGGGTGTAACTACCCTTTTTCCTCAGTTTTCAAATATTCAAAGTAAGTTTCAAATCATAAAAGTAAATAATAATACTAGTAAACGTTAGAGTAATAAATATTTTAAATTATTTTTAACATACCGTAATTATAGTTATTGTAATAACATCTTCCTTATGTTGTGTTGAATAATAGAACCTTGGGCAGATACACAAACAAATCTTGAATGCCAATTGCTTAATATGTATGTTTATTTATCATGTAAAATATAGATATCAAAACCAACTGCAAGGAAAATATAGAAAAAGTTTTTAAAAAGGTAATCTATAAATAGATGAAATAAAAGTTTTTTAAAGTTCCAATTTTTGGATACAGCAAATTGAAAATGTATTTCAATTTAATATGATAAAATTGTTTTGTATTATGAATATTATTTGATGTGTGTTCATATAATTAGTGGTATATTTTGAAGCATGCTTTTGCCAACACTTCATTTTAGATATTGCAAGCCTTCTGTTGCATTTGGTCCCAAAACATTTTACTGTACTTCTGTCAACTAAGCACACCATTTTGGTATCATAATCTAAAAATACTGTAAAAATGAGAGGTCTCATGTCCTCAGAAGATATGCATGTAAAATATAAATTCTAAATTGATGACTCTTTCTTCAAATATTAAACTCTATAAAACATTTCTTTAGGGTTTCTCCTGGGCTTCTGTTGTGGCTCTTCTGGTACAGGTTATCAATGCGAAACCAACGAAGAGAATCCAACATTTTCGGCACCAGCACACCCAGAACACAAAAATCCAGCAGGTCGATTAGCCTGTGTGGAATATCCCTACGGAATAGGAAAAAAAACATCAACCTAAAATATGCTTTCTTCACTAGCTAATTAATATAAGCTAAATAAATATAGAGCACTTTATAAATTTTAAATTATTATTATATACACTGCTACACTCTGGCTATCAACGTGTATGGTTTTTGGGAATTGGCAGACATGACTTTTTAATCATGAGAAATTTATTTGAACTGAATTATGAAAAAAAGGTTCAAAAAATACATTTTTGAAGTTAGACGCATACAACTCTTGACAAGAAAACAGTTCACTGTAAAGCAAGAATACAACACACCTGCTCTAATTATATCTCCTGAAGATGTACAAGGCAAGGACAGAGAAGCACAGCAAATAGGAGAAAGTGAAGATGCCACAGGCTTGCACATGCAAACCACTCTTAGAGAAGTATAACAACATTCTGTAGTATTATCCTCAAACTTACCAGATCAATTTTCAACCGTTCAAAAGCTAACACGGTATTTGAATTAATCTCCGCAGAACACTGAAAACATTTCACAAGTACACCCTCCTCATTTCTGGTTATAGCTTTTGTAGACACTGGATAGGAAAAGGTCTCCTAAAAGAAAAAGAAACGCAAATAGGTTGTTAGGTATGAAGATGGATCAGTTCTTTGAGGATTTCTGCTACTACAGGTTTTTCAAGTTGGAACCTGGAGCGGTTCACAAGTCGCAAATTCATAATCTGCATGTTTGTATCAATATAATCTTATTTGTCTCCCGGAAGCTAGCTTCATAATGGGTACATCACATGCAGCAAAATATATTTAAAGATGCATTAACAAAGCTCAATTAATTATCTGTCACTTGAGGCCATGACCAGATTTAAGGAATGGAGTCGAGTCGAGTTGAATAGCTTGGTGGACAAGATGCATGCTTTCCAATCCCAGGGTCCTGAGATCATGACCAAAACAAGTCCACCTCTTATTCTATGTACAGCATCTTGTATGTATGTTTGTCTTGTGATGGGACTGCCACTTTGAAGAGTGATTAAGTTCACTGTTTGGCATACCCTTGGCCCTAGTGCCTAAAGCTGAATTAAGAAAGATCAGATGGCCCAACCATCTCTACATTTTTAAATTTTTATGGCCCAAAGTTGTGCTTTTTAGACCACAATATTAAGAATTGGCAATGAAAATAACATTTTGGATAGGCAAATTAATATTTTTTATTCTGACTTGTGAAGTTAGGGGTCCACACTGATGGGGTAAAATTCCAACCGCTGACACCACCACTGGTCTGGACCCTCCACCTACAAATGTCCCTCCCTGGGCTATTCTAGGCTGTCTAACAAGCACCTCCAGTCATTTTCCAAACTTTATAAAGCTTTATAAAAGCGTCAACATTTTAAAAACAATAATGAAAGAGAACTTTACATTTAATCTGGCAAGCATCTTGAGAATAGGGCTAGTTAGCTTCAGTCGCTTCTTTGCTCTTGTCAAAGCAACATAAAGAAGATTGAACTCATCCATTGGTTGATTCGCATTCATCTGCAAGTGGGCTGGAATGCCTAGAAAAAAATAAAGAACACCAACAATCAAATGTTAAATTAGTGTAATCAAATTAACTTCATTAAAATATATATCTGTAAGATATTCAAAAGTTTTTAGAAGGTAATAAAAGAGTACCACCAAAATAGGGTGTATAATAAGTAAATATAAAGATGAAAATAGTCATTGTCATTTTAGCTTATATTAAATCCTGCTAAGAAGACTTTAAAGAACATAAAACTAGTTAAAACACTAACCGCCAAAACCTGGTAGATTGCCATCATTGGTTTCGGTCAAAAAGTCACACGTCACTTTAACAGTATCAAATTCCAATCCCTTCGCCTTATGCGCGGTTGAAAATACCACCTCTGAGGGGAGACGAGCGTTGCAAATCAATACATCAGATGCATGTATACATGCATACATAGAGATATATAAATCAAAGTACTGTAAATGTCTAAACAGCCTTGCACTAATACTTTATCAATTTGTTACTAAGTGTGTAGCCAAGATAGTTGTTTAATAGTCCTTACTCTGGACTATCAGCAACTACATATATTTAACAATATAAGTAATAATAATACGAATACACCACACAACTAACTAAAATGCACAGCAAGGGTTAAAAACCCCTGAACTGGACACTGCTTCAACCACTTCCCATTAGATGTATCTTTTTGCCGACAATGTAAAATATATATATATCGAAGCGGTTTGGTGCAGTTCTGCTTCTCAACCTTAAGGTTGGAGGTTCATTTTCCTTTTTGCTTTTGTCCTTAGACAAGGCACTTTACCTACGGTCGTGTCGTCTCTGCATCCAGAAGTATTAAGTGGGTACCTGGTAGGTTCAAACACAAAATGCGCTGATTACAGCTGCAACATTATAGAATTCTCGTCAGGGAGCTGAGTATGTGTCCCATACGTGCTTGATCCAATGACCGGGGGTAATAATGTGAAGCACTTAGAGGCCTTGTTGGCATTAAGCGCTATATAAGTCTAACATATTATATTATTATCTACAGTTTGCTCTCTAATTCAAGACCAACTTTGGGACCTGAAAATGTAGGATGGTTTTGAGGTTTGATTTCCAATTAGAGGGCTAGCTTTGTGTTAAAAAGATTGAAGATTGCTATATGGCTCTTTGAATAAGTGGTCTCGAATTAGTGGGGTGTCTGGAATTGAAGAGTGCACTGTAAACACTAACCAGCTTGTGTGATGTCATCGACAGCTCTTGATTTTATTCTTTCGATATGTTCAGGTATTTTAATGTGATGAGTTTTCACAATATCTATTCTTCCAAGCAGGTCTATATCTTCAACGTCATCAGCATAGCTTTTCAGTTGCGAAAGACTTGAATAGCGTTGGATAAACTTATCCTTAATTTCATTCTCAGCTGTGAAGAGAAATTAAAATTACAGAATATTAATGCTTTTTAAAAAACTCCCTTCTTAAATACAATTCGCATATTTATTCGAATAAACACTGTTGAGAAGGGTTTTTGAGGGGCTGTAAATTTGGGGGAGGAATTTATAGAGGGAGGCGTTTATTTATTTAGGTGTAAAATGGAGATATATATATACCATACTCCCCCCGCCCCGTTTGAATAAGCACCCCTCTCGAGAAAATTCCCTCCAGCGCCCCGTTTGAATAAGAGCCCCCTCAATAATATAAGATTTTCTTTTTAGTAAGTCAATAAAACATTTTTCATTCAAAAAATGCCTCTTAAATTGAATAAGTTCTCATAAGAACCCTACGATTTTCATCTATTTCCATAAGCACCCCTCATTTTCCACTCTGTTTTCATAAGCATCCCGTTTAAATAAGTGCCACGTTTGAATAAGCGCTCCTATAAAAGTGCAAAAAAAAATTTTAAGTGCCCAGGCGTGCGAGTACTGTACTCAAATAAACAGCACTTAATTTCACTGTCAATGTGGGACTACAACACATAATTAGTCAAAATTTGTTTGCATGATCATGAAACTTATTGATGCTAACCAGAGTTAGAAAAATGTTAAGAATGATATTGCTTCCATTAGTTTTGTTCACAGTCGTTTATTGGCCATTTATTCGCTGCAAAAATAAACGCCTGTAAATGCCCCAGGGCGTTTATTTAAGGGAGGCCTTTATTTAAAAAGCAGCTCTGGAGGGAGAGTTTTTCAAAAAGGAGTGGGGTGGTCATTTATTCAAAGAGGGGAGAGTTTATTCTAATAAATATGGCAAATATATACAGTATTTTAAATCATATATTGTATCCTCTTATTAACAACTTTTTGAAATATTATCAAAAATTAATGTTAAATTAGTGTAAATCACATACAATTTTAGGATCCTTAAATTCACTATGAAATGTACAACCATTTTAAAGTCATCGTAAAGATTTAATGTGCTTTACAGTAACTTGCAGTGTATTTGTCTTACGTTTTCTTCTGTCAGAAGGTGAGAGAGAGAAAAGTCTGTAGATATCCAAGATTTGATCAAACCGATAGCTGCGAACACCCTAACAATAAGATTAAAAAAGATAAAATATGATAAATAATATTTATTGGTGAAAGAATATGAGGCTTGCAATTCCAAAACCAATGTACTGTCATGTTTACACTGAGTAGTTAGCATAAGAATGTTGCAGTATTGTATAATTTTACTCATAACTTTAGCAAATAGTAAGTTGATACCAGTAAATGACTTTTCATTTCAAAGCTTATAATGTGCAGAATATGAATATACTAAAAAGTAAATTTTTTGTTTTAGTCACTGATGTTGGTTTTAGCACGGCAAGCCCCATATGGTAAAATACTGATCAGAAATTTGCTTTCCATTATGAGTATTAAAGATATCAAAAACTGTTAATTAATTATGACGACATATCATCTCCACATATATGGGTATCAGGATATCATACAGATACAGGTCACATGCAATTTGATAACATGATGATATATAAAAGGTGTAGCCGAATTGGTCTGCCATAGAACTATATAAGAAACGACAAATCTCAGCATTTCAAAGAAGAACATTTATTAGCTCCAGCTTTCATTAGAAGGCTGTGATAGTATGTATAAGGCTGTAATTCTGACTAGTTTTTACCTCCATGTTCTGACAAAGTCTTACTCACCCCAACTAATCCAATCATCACCGTCTTATTCTGTTCGCAGAATTTTGCAACTTCATTAAATAATGATAAATTGGTTCGACAGATAACAGCAATTTGTCCAACTTCTTCTCCAAGCACAGATCCTTCAGGGTAAATATAAATTTTGTTTAATAATTATTGTTCAAATTTTTAAAAAATGCAATAATTTAGATCTTATTTCATGTGCTGCCATCAGGAAAATACCATATCATAGGTTGAATGTTTTCACCCCTTAGAATTTAAATCTTATATATTTTATATTTCATATTTATTTATTTAATTAGAGCTCACTGTGCAGCTCCATTTCTACAATACAAATGCTTGCTTTATTAAGATTCATATCGTATTGCTATGGTTTTGAATATTTATGATTATAAGCTGATAACATCCAATCACACAACATCAGTTGTATCTAATTTGAATACTGCGTTGTGGAACGAGATGAACATGACAACGCCTCTTTACAGCTGCTACAGCAGTCACTGACCTCGCCAATACGCAATTCAGCACAATTCAGCACAATTCAGCAATGATATGAAGTTATGGTATATTCTGCTACCTTTTACCTTCACAACCTCTTGTCTTGTTTGAATTTTCATATCTAAATTGCTAAAATGTCTTGAATACTTAAGACTTACCAAGAGCCTCAACTCCGATAACATACTTCTTGACATTTTTTAAGGCATGCAGAACACAGTTAGCCACATATGCAATCTCAGGCCCAAATCTAAATGACTGCAAAACATTTTTGGAAAATATGAGCAATATTACTTCTTATAATAGGGTTATTATTGCAAATGGCTTGTCGGACCGAAAAGAAAAAACAACTGTTTTTTAATTCTTTGTACAGAGAATATGTTCGAAACATCTCAAAATACCAAAACAAAAGACCAAGAATTTCCCCCAACCAGACTTAGACCCTGGACTCAAAGAATGTTAGGCACCCCCGTCAGACAGCTTAGCACACTTATCTCCCCCTACCCCCACTCCCAATGTAAGTGTACAAAGATGCAAGGCAGAAGATCATGTTTATAAAAAAATATATAATAATGCAATTCTACCTGTGTAAGGTGAAATATTTTCGTTGCAGGTATGTTCTGTAACGCATTTGTTGCTCCTCGGAAACTGTATATTTGTTGATGGGGATCGCCAACCACGATCTTGGCACAATTTTGACGCATTAAGATATCTTGTTGAGCTAAAAATTACAAGTTGATTTTCATATTGCATGTCAATAGAAAGAAACATCTGATATCTATGGTAAGATGGATTTATGTGCTCCAAAATCAAGTTTATTTATTTGGAATGGATTAGATTTCTTTGGTGATGATGAACTAAAGTCTAAAGGCTTTTTTCCTGTGGTGTCCTTCTGAGGAGTGTACTGGCTTTTATCAACATGCACATGGGCCATACTGTGTCTTCATGGTTAAGTGAATGCAGAGTGGTTACTACAAATTTAGACTGAGTTAAGCAGGAAGCCTATATGCAATACCCATTTGTATTGCCTAGTTGAGACATTTTATTTAAGCGTGTTCATGGAGAATGACCCTTTCAACTAAGCCCAAAAGTTTAGCACAGCTGATATATAGGGACTTTTTAAATACTGTAAATAAAATAAACTAATGTTCTACAAACTCAATGTCTTTAAGGCTACAAAATAATCTTTCATGAACTAAGTGTCTTTTAGATTCTTAGGGGGGTATAGTCTTTTTAATAATTAAAAAATTGCTGGTGTCTTTGGGATTTGAAACCAAGGTCCTGGGATTACAACATACCTGGTGTAAGATCCTGAGCCTCATCAATTAGGATACAGTCAACAGACGGTAAGCTAGCCTCTGTTAGTTGAAACAACTTCAAGTACGCTGTAAAGATAACAATCTCATTATAACTTACAGATCTTTAAGATCATTCATGAACAGTGGAACCAAGAAGGATACGGTAACATTTTCACAATATGTTGGGGTGTTCCAACAATCATTATACCATTATATAAAAGGCCTTGTATGTTACTGTATACACAGTACAGTAATTTTTCTTTTGCATAACTTGAAATGGTTGGAATGCTTCTTATTAAAGTCAACTCGTACCACTTCAGTCCATATTGCCCCAACTTGTCGTAAACATCATGAATCAGGCCCAACTAACAAACGCTATTCATACCAACAACAACCGTTTACAATGGCCAACTCCTATCACGCTATCAGGTTGTAATACTTCTTTCTAAAACTCAACTCATACCACTTCAGCTCATATTGACCCAACTTGTAAACAACATGTACCAGGCCCAACTCATACCAGACCCTTTCCATATCAACCACAGCCATTTAAAATGCCCAACTCTTATCAAGCTAGAGCCTATTCACACAAAGTACAAAGCTCAAAATGTAAAAGACCCAACTCATTACAGGTACAAGCTGTACCAGTCCTATTGTGTACTAAGCAAAATTCATGCTAAAACACCAAATCATGCCAATAACAACTTATATGTCAATAATAAATGTTTTAGTGGCCAGAAAATTATCCCTCCACTCTTTTCAAATACCTTCAGCATTCAATACCTACCATCATGTGTCACGGAGGCCTCACGGTCAGATGGATTTCGCATTCTCTCCCAAAGCTTTTTTGCATCCACCAATAAGCCCTATATTTTCATTTTGCCATTGCATGGAGTAAAAGAAGGACCAAAGTAATAACAAAAAAAATATTAAATGATACAAAAATATCTTAAGATGTAATTTCACTAATTGTTTTAGGAGCAGTTTGGCACAGTGGTTACAATTCTGCTTCTCAACCTTGAGGTTGAAGGTTCAATCTCTCGTTGTGTGTTTCACTAGTGTCCTTAGACAAGGCACTTCACCCATCACCTACGTTTGTCTCTCTCTCCACCCAGGAGTATTAAGTGGGTACCTGTTAGGTTCAAACATATAAAATGCACTAAGTACAGGTGCAAATTTTATAGAGTTCTCCCCAGGGAGCTGAGTATGTGTTCCATAAGTGCTTGATCCAATGACTAGGGGTAATAATGTAGAGGCTTTGTTGGCATTAAGTGCTATGTAAGTTAAGTCTAACATATTAAGTATCCAAGCCAACCAAACAAAATCAGAACCTTTCTCCTTTCCGGGTTTATCTGTCTTCTTGATCGACCTTCGATGCCTTCTTCTTTTTCTTCTTCTGGTACATGAATTAAGTTCATGTAATCATCATCTGAAGCCATGAAGTTTTTAATGGTCTTGATGACCAGCTTGGCACGAACATACAATGCCATATTTTTCTTATGGTAAATTGTAGCTTTGGGTTCTAACATACACACCACATTGTATATTTTCAAATTTGGGATTAACTTTTTCTTGTACCTAAGGATGAAGAAATGTGTAAGATATTTTCAATTCAATTCCATTATTTTTGTTTTGTCATCAAATCAAAGTCAATGTACAAATAACATTTTTTTAAATGTTAAAAATAGGATAAAATAGGAAAATTACATTCATGAAACTCAAATGAGCTTGTAAAATGAAAACCTGGATGTACAGTAGTAAAATTGTATATTGCAACTAAAACAAATCAGAAAAAAACTCCAAATTATAAAGAATCAAAATAAAAACATCACCTTTTAGTAACTAAGAGTATACTAACAAAATCAGCTTTCAACTAGAGGGCACTCTGAAAGTGCATACCTCGACTTTCACGTCATTATTGTCGATTCGTTCGATCCAATGGTTGTTGTACAATATTATAGGGGTGTAGGTAATATTACTAACTATACATACTTATGAGGTGAAGTGTGGCTGAGCGGTAAAGGCTCATGTATTATCTGTAAATTTTATTGACTGTATATGTTCGAATCTCCCATTTGTTTATTTTTAAAAATTATTTATTAGATCATTGTTATTAACTTTTTATTATTCATGCATTTATAGAATACTTTTTTTATATTTCATTATTAATCATAATTATGTTTTTTTTTTTTTTTTTAATTAAAATAATAAAATTGGGACTGCAGATTGTGAGAGATGCTGCCAAAAATATTTGAAACATTTAAATCTGCATCTTACTTTTCCAATCTATCCATCAAACGAGAACTAGCATCACAGGCCCATTACTTGGGCTTGCACGCCATCCTGACTGCTTTCAGTCAGCCGTCCAGAATAAATAAATATACATATAAATAAATTAATTAATAAACAGGAGAGAAAACAACTTCTTTGGCAGAGGTAATAAATGGAAGTATCTGTAAGTCAGCTGAGCCACTCATTTAAATTATACCCCGGACCGTACCACTGTAAAGTAGAGGGTAGGCTTATGTCCAAAGTAGGCTAAGGTCTGTTTATACTTCAATGATAACGATAACGACAAAAAAGCTAAAAAGCGATTGTTGATATAGAAAAGAAAAGAAATAAGGGAATTTTTTACACTAGACCAAATCGATAACGATTTACCGTGTATACGATAACAAAATATTTTAACAAATCAAATCAGATGATGTCATAATCATGGAAAAAATATAAAATCGTTGCTACTACTACGATTTTAATGTTTTCCCATGATTATGACGTCATCTGATTTGATTTGTCAAAATATGTTATCGCATAACTGATAAATGGTTATCGAAGTCTCTGATTTCTATTTTTTTCTATATGAACAATTGCTTTCTAACTTTTTATCGTTATTGTTATCGTTGAAGTTTAAACAGGCCTTTATACTTGACGAACTATGGTGTGATTCTCATCATCACTACTGTCTCCTTCACCACTACTACTACCACAAGAACACTTTTTTTTTTTTATCATTGTTGTTGTGTACTGTACCTGCAAAGGCAATTATTTTCACAACTTCTTTGGGTTTTAATTTGTAGCTGACAATTGCAACTTGTTCTTGAGTCATCACATGTTCACTGTTCTGCATCTTCGAACTATTTGTATAAAAGGAAAATAAATCACATTCTATTTAATTAGCAAACTACATGCTGGGGCAGGCTTTGGAACACCAAGAAATAATCCCTACTCTTTTTGGAAGAATGTACTGCATTCTTTAACATGCATATGGGCAAATAATTCTCAGAGGACCAAACGGCAAACGTCTCATCCGAAAGACAGTGGGCGATCGTAACTTGCAATTCTGCCCTCCAGCCGACTGAGCTACGCTGCTCTCCCCTTAGCTAGGGACTCTATGAGGAACATTATTTTGTTGTTTCTGGAATTTAGTATATAGTCATATTAGCAATATTCACCTGTCTTTGCAGGAAACCTGGATAGCAATTTTACTCGTACTATAAGCCAACGACGAACCCGACTCATAGTGATACAGAGCATGGTACAACCTATAATGCAGACTAAAATAAAAATGATTATTATTTATGCATCTGTAAATTAATTAGAAAAATATTTTCTTAATTGATAACTTTACTTAAATAAAGTTAATTTTTATTTTTTATTTATTTTTATTTGAAACATATTTATAGTGGGTGACTCTTGCAGCAATGATGATATACAGAGGTCCACTTATTGAATTCAGAATAGAATCATCATTAATCAAAAAATAAAGTAATAGGCCTAATACAATGGAACAAAGACAAATATTTATTAGACAAAAGTTAAAGAAAAATTTCAAGAATTAACATACCCACAATTGATGCCGTGTTCATTCTGCAACATAAGCAGCATCGTAGCTAAGCGGTAGAAGCTTTCAATGACGATGCTGTGTTCCCATGGCGACTGTAAGCTGTACTTAATGGCTTCGGATATGTCGTGAGTGCTCCTAGACAGGATCACCATGGTAGCAAGTAGAGACCACAAGTTTGGGACCTAAATATTAATATCAATAGAAATAATCATATTTGATACCAATTCCAGATACATAATATTATACACAGGGAATAGTTAAAATCATAATAATAAAAATAAGAAGAAATAACTAAGTGACATCAGGATTATAAATACAAATTATATTAATGAACTTACTCCTCCTACTACTAGATCAGGTGCCCTTTCTGCTAGTAGGTCACATGACACTTGAAACATCGGATGTCTGCTCATATAACTAACTGCAGATGATTCGTCTATAGTCTTAAACTCAGACATATATCTGCAAAAAAATTGGCCATATTATTTAATTTTATTAACACAATTCTTCAGCAAAACATTTTTTTAATCTGAAGTCATTCCTCATTTTTTAATTTATTTTTACACTGTTTACTGTATATGTTGAGGAAACAGGTTTTTTATGATAAAGTATTCAAATTTTCAATTAATCATTTTATCACCATCACTTTAAGTTAGGCTTACCTGATTAGCGTCAAAAGGCAAGATTTATCATTTCTAAAAGACCGAGTTGCGTAGATATCCTTTACGGCAGAAACACCAGATATCTCAGATAACTTGTAACGCTGATATAATTTCTTCCATGGTAGAAACTGCCAAAACAAAATAATGTTTTACTATTATACATCACAAGAACAATTCAAAATTGCATCATAATTTATTTAATTTTATAGTACTTTGTAGTGATACAAAACTGGGGATACAGCCGTTTGTATTGTAGTGATACAGTATAAATTTATAATTGAAATATTTTGTAAAAAATGATGATTTCATACTAAAAAAACATTCTAGAAATGTCTCCACAACCCCTCTACCCAGCCAACCTTCAATCACAAACATCAAATTTAAACATTCAAAACAATGGGAATGTATCAATATTTGTGTTGTCCATCCTTCCCCCCAACCCCACCTCTTAATTTGCCATTTCATACCTCATGGTTTAGGATAATTCTGTTCCATCTCTTACACACAACACAAATATGGCAACATACACTGATAGACAGGTATGAAAATATCTTTTCAAGGATCTCATCTGGTAGAAAGTTTAAATAGTCTACATGCTCATCTTCTCCTGTTTCATCTGCATTGTCTACATGGCTGCTACCTCCAAGAAGACCAAATGTGTTAGATTCATACTTTTCCTTTTCCATGTTTTCAAGCATAGTAGGACTCAAGTCATCTAGAAAGGAGTCGTTTTCAAAGGCCTCTAGATTGGTATCCAGTGAACTGGTTGAACATCGCTTCTCTGCTTCCACACTTGCACGGATCATTAAGTCTTCATCTGTGGAGTCCTCTTCAAATGCAAGTAAATTAGGGTCATTTGATGCTGACGGCAATCTGATTCCCGGCTCATTGTTAAACAGATTTCTACGTACACGTTGTACACTTTCTCGTGATCCGCAGCCACTGGTTGACGCATCGCAATTTGTCGCCCTTGTCATCTTGGAACAACCTGCAGCAGATCTTGAAACATCTCCTGATGATCTCCATACAAAATATATTTCAATTAGTCATACTTTACTAGCTTTTAACTTTTATTTAGCGAGTCCTAGCAATTAATTCAAAGTGTTGTTTTAAAGGAAAGAAAGATAATTTTCACAGACCTGAAACAGCGCGCTGCTGCTGAATGTGTACTCTCAGAGTGTACTGCTGTTTTGTTTTTGTCGGATCAAAGTTCAAAGGTCATAATGGCCAACAAAATTTTAAGTGAGCGGATATCGACGACTTTCTTAGGTAATCATTTTTTTTTAAATGAATTGCAGTCAATTTTAGAAGAAAGCGAAGATCCACAATCACTAATCAAAGCTTCAAATCCAAAATCTGGTGATCGACTTGTTCATTTAGCCTCCAGACATGGACGTGTAGAAATTTTGAGCCTGCTGAGTAAATATGGTGCCGATTTCGAGGCTGGGAACTTGGATGGCAAGCGACCTCTTCACGAGGCGGCCGCGTCGAGTAAAGTGACTTCCGTGCAATTTCTCCTATCGGTTAATGTTTCTGTAGATTGCTTAAAACGTGCCGATTGGTAAGAAATTATAAGCCATATTTTCTGGCCTGTATGTATATTAAAAGTGGATAAGAAATTATATTTTAATATTAAGATTGTTGGACAAAAAATGAATTAAAAGATTTATTTAGGTCTAGGCCTAGCCTATGCCTAGGTCCTATCCTAAAGAAAGGTAATAGGTCAAAACGGCAATGACCAAAGTGGCAAAAAACCAAAACGGCAACACTTTTAGACAAAAACAGCAATGGGACCGTCAAAATAGCAAGATCAAAACGGCAATAAGTCAAATAAAATTAACCATTCTGATTCAATATTTAATTTGGTATATGATATCATCAGTTCAGTTTATTTCTCATTATTGTTACTGTATTGCCGATTTGGTCATTGCCGTTTTGGTTTTTTGCCGTTTTGTCCTGAAACCTAAACAAACAGCAGTGAGTATGCCTACCTACAGTAGGCCTAGCATATGCAACCTTAAAGGCTTAAAGCTAGCCATTCATATATGAAAAATGTTTTTCTTATTTTTGTGAACATATTGTAGCCTACAGCCTGTAAAGTAAATAAGGCCTTCGCGGGGGAACCACATACAACTATTTTTTAATTGCGCACATTATACCTCAAAACCAGCTCAGATTTTCGCAGAAAATCGATAGCTAAGAAAATAGATGCACAGAATCTTACAATAAGGGATTCGTTTATGCAAATATTTGATTTACTTAAAAAATGTTTGATTTTATTTAAAAGTGATTGGAGACTAGTAATAAGCTCATCACGAACATCAGCTCCGAATTCCTCCCAAATATGAGGAAATGAATTACAGAAATTAAATTTATAGGTATTTGTTCTAGAGAGAGTGTAAATAAATGTTAATAATAATAAATGTTCTAAGTGTCTTAAATTGTTAATTGCTACATAATTTAAGATATTTATATTTACTTTACAGTATATTGATTTAGCTATAAAACTCAATGTATACTTAAATCTATTAACAACTGACATCATATTAAGTAATTTAAACGTTCAAATTTACACTAAGCCACACTGGCCTTAGGCCTATGTATCGAACATACAGTTAGTGTTTTTTCCCTCTTGTAAAATGCGTAATGCACCCAGAATATCAGCCTTTAAAATTAGGAAAAATGTACATCAGGGAAAAATCACTGGCGCTGTATCGGCGTTGGCATTTTTAAATAAATCAACAAGGGACCAGAACATAAACAAGGCAGTTGTTGCATGTCTCAATCAAGTCACTAACCCAATAAAGGCCCATAGAATAGAAGACATAGCCTGCCAGGACATAAATTAAATATTATGATATGTGATTTTTTTCCAGCACTGCCCCTTGTGGAATGACCAACATCTGTATAAAATGCTTTTCCTTACTAAAAGAGGGGCACTCTAAAATTTAAGGGGGGTCCGGACATTGCCAACACTTCCCCACCCCCCAGGATCCGCCCCTCTATAGTATGGGCAAGCATCACAATGTAAGCAGTTTTAGGAGTATTTTTATACTGGTTATGTGTTTTTGATTGCTACTTTCAATAGGACGCCCCTTATGTTGGCATGTGCAAAGAAAAACATTGAAATCATCAAGGAACTTGTCAATGCAGGTGCTGATCTAAATTTGAAAAACAAAGATGGATGGACATGTTTTCATATTGCTTCAAGGTACAACCATTTTGTACTGTTGTTGATAGAATTTTCAGTTATATCATTCTCTTACTTTCAAAGTTCACTACCAACTTTACCCCAGGGCCGTAGCCACGAGAATTGAAGTGGTCAGGTTGCGTGCGAAGCGCGAGCACTGATGATTGGGACTACAGTTTTAGTATTGCAGGGGCTCCGGGGCCATTAAACTGTAATCTTGTTGTAAACAATTAAACTGTAATATTATTAACATTAAGCCAATAAACTGTAATATTATTAACTAAGACCAATCAACACATAGGCTAACAATAAACATGTACATATCAAAATTATTATGTTTAATCTTTCCTCGTCGGTGCTTGCATTAAACGTGATTTGGATCTAACATGTGTATAATGATAATTGATAAACAATCAAAATTCTCTGTACAATATTATTCTCAACATTTACAGAGTGGACTTCCTTATGTTTTGTTCTCATATTAGACTGTAATATTATTAAAGAAGTCCATTCAACAAACAACATAAAACATATACATATCAAAGTTATTAGGTTAAAGTTCTCATGTCGGTGCATGCATAAAACGTAATTTCCTGAAATTTGGATATCTGAGATTGACAGACGAAATTCTCTATACTATATATACTAATTTAACAAGTGGACTTCCTTGATTTATATGTATATTTATATACGCAAAGTTTAGAATGTTAGGTCCATAGTTTAAAGTTTAAAGAAGACTGACTTCTTATGTTCTGGTCATATTAGAATGTAATATCATTAGAAACCATTCAACAAAAAAATGAAACATATCAAAATTATTAAGTTAAACTTTCTACTTCAGTGCATGAATATAACATAATTTTGGGATATATGAGCTTTATGTAACATTTGAGAATGTACTGAATATAAAATATTAAATATTTTACATTTTAATCAACAATCTATCAGAAATACGGGGATTATTTATACTGTAAAGCCTTCGGAACCCCTGCAATACTAAAACTGGTTTCCAACAGGCAGTGAATATTCCATTTTGATTTAGTGTAGATGTTTTTTATATTTTTTTTATTCTTTTTATTTTGTATGATTCATATGTTATATTTTCAACAGACAGATAAATGAATGCCTGAACTGATATTTTATGGGTTTCATATTACTTTCTATACAAAACAGATATCATAAATCATCTATTGTCCGACTGTGTGCATTGAAAATTTGACAACGACGATAATGTCTCCAAATTCCCAAACATAACTTAGGCTACACGGGCCTCGCTTGACACTTCACATCAAAGGGCCTGTTAATCAATCTTGCACAACTTCCTCCTCCTCATCATCATCTTCATCATCAAAATTATTAATTGTCCATAGCAAAGTAGGGAAAAACTATGAATTCAATAATAGACGTCTCATAATGCACAAAGTGTATTTCAAAGCTACGGCCCTGTACCCGTACAGGGATCCTGGATTGGGAAAGCCATAGCCTTTAAGCCTGTTTTCAGGCAGCAAATTAGTTCCACTAAGTGGTTTTAAATACTAAAAATTACCATTAAATTCTCATTGGCATAGGGATTTTTTTCTGCCTTCTCATTTCTCAACATCTGAAATTTCGTTATGAAGTTAAAGGCGTTTAAGTATACAGCTACAGTATTTGAGTTTATAGTATATATAAATATTATATTAATGAATGTTTATCTTATTTTTTCAGAGAAGGCCATGTTGATATTTTATCATATCTGCATGACTGCAATGATTCACTCTGGGAAACAGTTAGTAAAAATGGACGAACACCTCTTCACACTGCAGGTATGGGTCTAAAACTCTGTCTAGATTTGACAGAAAATTGTTGTCTAGCATAAATGCTTGAATAAGCACCGCTCTCAGTTAAGCGGCCTACCAAATGTGATTTTTTTTTTTTTTTGGCTAATCACCGCTCTTGAATAAGCACCGCTGCGCTTAACCAAGATTATGATATTGCCCTGTTTGTAATGAAACAGTTTTAGAAACAGGATTATAAATACAACGTATACAGCATTAAAATGAATAAATAACACTTGCGAAGACACAAGCATATCTTTATAAACGTTTATTTACAATGACGTACAGTAGGACCTATAACAGGCTTACCGAACTACGGGTAACATGAGCATGGAAGCGCCACGCCAATTTATTTTTATAAGCGCCGCTCTCAAATTAACGCTGCTCGCAAATAATCGCTGCTCTCAAATAATAAGCTCATTTTATATTTTCTAGCCATCAGACTGATTGTGATCAATATTGTCTTGATATTCAATTACAGGTCTTCCACTAATTAAAGACCCCTCCAATTGAAAACCACCTCCAATTAAAGACCACTTTTCTGTGGTCCCATTTAACAAATGTCTTTTATCTTTATTATTGTAATTAGAGTCCAAAGCTGCTAAAGACCATGCAAACCCTGGTCCCAAAAGGGGTCTTTAATAATTGAAGGGAGAACTGTAATTTAAATATATTTTGCTTCTATTAAACCTTTTAACATCTCAACCCATGCTCAACAATTAAGAAGTTGTTTTTGGCAGAAATGAAAATTCTAGACAGCTCACTTTATGCATATCTCAGGCATAAATTTTAGGCCTACTGTTTCAAATCAGGTTAAGTTAAGCCCTAGAAGTGTAAATTTAGGCTGTAATATTCTACTAAGATATGTATACCAATGAATTAATTTTATTTTACCATAGTTACTCACCCCCTTTGAACAAAAACTTCAAGTAAGTTACTCATTCAGATTATACCATGGGCTCTTGCCCAAGGAAAGGTTGGTACATAAGATTGGGTATAAAGTAGGGTGGGATTATACCTGAGGAACTATTGTATTCATTCATTCAGCATAATCACAGCCCAGGAGTCACAGAAGTTGGATCCCCACTGTCACCAGTATATTAAGATTAAAGATAGCATTTACCAAAATGAAATTCTATTATTTACAATAATTATTATAATGAAATGTTAGAATTATCAATATCTTTATGTGTATGATTATAGCTCTACATGGTAGGCTAGAAGCCTGTGAGTTTCTGCTAACTCGCTGTCATTTTCCTGTGGATGTACAGGATAGCTGCGGATCAACACCGTTGATGGATGCAGCGAGGGCAGGCTTTCCTGAGGTAGTTGATAAACTTATCAACCTACACCATGTAAGTTAAACAGCTGATTACATTGTTAATTCAAAGTTTCATGGTTTATTTTTAGTTAAAGTTTTAAAATTGCATTCCATTCATTCTGCCATTTAAATCAAATAAATAAAAAGACATTTAGAATATATTAAAAAAAACATGACAATTGGTAATATTAGTAGCAGACTCATCCTCAAAAGTGGCAATGTATCTGCTGTCCAGGTGAATACAGTCAATTTTGTTTCTTGTTTTGTTTTAATCTGGTTCTTGGTAGTACAGTAATTGAGATTTGTATTAATATATCTTTTAATCATTTTTATAATTTCAATGCGCTATCGTGAATACTTTTGTACTACTAATATATAAGGGTATGTTTAATTGAGTTATTGTTGAACATGCAAACTAAGAAATAACCAGATTTAATGTATAATTATATAATTTTAATTTGATTATGGGTACCTTATAGTGTAAATATTACTCAAAACACTATTTAATTCATTTATCATTTTCTACTTTGCAAAATAGGCAGATGTCAGGAAGTGTGACGTCCTAGGTCGTCAAGCAATCCATTTGGCAAGCCAGGCTGGTGAATGTGGTGTTATACAATATTTGTTGAAGGAACAGAACATTTCTGTCAACTCTATCAGTCAACCAAGTTCACTCACCCCTTTACATTTTGCCTCAAAGGTACCATCTTTTCAGATATATTTTTTTGCTGATTGATTTCTATTTTGGGGAGGGGTGGAGAAGGTGGGGTGGAAGTAGCGTATAATCAAAACATTGACATATCTGAGCATGTGCACCTGCTTTGCTATTATGAATGTAGGTAACTGTGTTTGGTTTAGAATAATAATTGATGGTTGTATCCATTGCTATAGGAAGGAAGAACAGATGCAATATCGTACTTACTCCAAGAAGGAGCAGATGCTAACATCCAAGATTCAAAAGGTAGAACAGGTAAGAATCAATGTACAAAATTTCTAACTTATTTCAAGGCATTTCTCACTGCCCGTATAAAATCATGATGTGCCTATTATGTTCATGATGTGATGCCATCATGACCATATTTAGTCATGTCAGATGTTTTTGTCATATAAAATTTGATAGATTGATGTCAACAGTATTAATTAATAACCTTGAAATAATAACAGCCTTATACATTAATTTTTTTCCCAGCCTTGCACATGGCGGCCGGATCACAGAACGTGGACAGCATACGCCTCCTGTTGTACAGTGGTGCTAAGATAATCCCCGATAAGAAAGGTGTCAAGCCAAACACTCTAGCTACAAACAACTTTGCCAAGATGCTGTTTGATGAAATAAGTTGAGACCCATCTATGATGCCTAGGTATTTCTTTAGGACATGAATTAACTATTAGGACAGTACCAGTCCTTGCGAATGTAAAACTTGAAAGTTAAAATTACACATTTCGTACTCTCATATAGAGGGGGAATTATATTAAGAGATTCAGTTTGGGATTCTGCAAATGGAATGGATAGTTGGATGAGAAGGGGAACGAACCCGAGTTCTTTGTTTCCATATCTAGTGGCCTAAGCCACCACTGCATACCCCAAACTAATGCAAGCTGTAAATATCATAGTTTAACCCAATTGATTTGCGGGTTTCAGTTAGTCTTGCCGTTCATTTTCAACTACAAATATTCATTTATAAAACATTTTTTTTACACTGTTGCAATACCGGCTGAAAATGATCAAACAGAAAGAAATCACGACTTTTTTGATAGTTACAAATAACACATAATATTAATATAAAGAAATGAAGTCAAAATGGCCAGGGATGTAACATACCCCTGCCGGGAAAAAGAATGTTTGTACACAAACCTTTGTGTTTACTACAAAAATGAATTATCAGAAATAATATACATCTACCGCAAAGACATTATCTTTGCCTTGGATATGAAGTTGCAGATGATATTCTGTTATCCAGCAATGGCCATCTCAACAATCGTTGATTTTATTTTTCATTCTATTAATAAATGATTAATGATTATGTCTGTATATAATAATAATAATAATAATAATATGACGTTCTTATATAGCGCTTCATGGACAAAGCGCTCCACATTACTACCCCGGTCATTGGATCAAACACGGAACACATACTCAACACCAAATTAAATTATTAAATTATATTATTCTATAATATTGCAGCTAGTAATCAGCGCAGTTGTGTTGGAACCTACCAGGAGAGAGGCAACCGTAGATAAAGTGCCTTGCCCAAGGACACAAGCGATTTGCACAGCGAGAGTTTCGAACCCCCGACCTCGAGGTTGGGAGTCCAAGCCACAACTGATGTTTTCTAAAATTATAATTCTTCCTTCCGCTCACCATCCTAAAATGGAAGCTCCATAATATGTCTGTCAAGAAACATTTGGCTTCTTCTGAACATAATTATGATGTGCTACAACAGGGGTCTACAAAAAAACAACAACTCTCAAATTCATCATTAATTTTTAGTGTTTCCATGCATCGTGGATTAATGCTTTCTAAATGAACAATATCTTATTGGAGTCTATTGGCAATAATGCGTTCCGGATTTTGCTGGCTGTTTGTAATACAGTATGGGTGTTTTGTGCGAGCAAAAATGCTCCTTTATTTTCTGTTTGTTTTTTGTAACAATTGTATGTACACATACAATACTTGTAATTCAATACTATGAATGGAAGCTCATTGGAGTCAATTGCTGTCTTTCCCATTCGCTATGATTTTTATAGCGAGTGTACGTACACATAATTGTACTTCCACTATGAATGATACCTTAGTGGAGTCCATTCATGTCTCTCCCGTTCACTTTCTTGTTTGTTATTTGTATATATGTTGAAACTTGCGGAACACCACGTAAGTAGTTCTGAAAAGAGCTGTAGTAGTTGAGGAAGTCTCGATGTTTCGATTAAGTTTCAATCGTCTTCAGGAGAACAATAATTTGTAGCAAGTGTTCACATACTTGTACTTCTGCACATGTACTATGAATGGTACGTCAGTGGAGTCCATTGCTGTTTCTCCCGTTCACTTTCTTGTTTGTTATTTGTAGCAAGTGAACGCATATTTGCACTTCTATACTATGAATGATATCTCAGTGGAGTCCATTGCTGTTTCTCCCATTAACTTTCATGTTTGTTTTTTGTAGCAAGTGTACGTACACATAATTGTACTTCCATACTATGAATGATACCTTAGGGGAGTCCATTAATGTCTCTCCCATTGACTTTCTTGTTTGTTATTTGTAGCAAGTGTACACATACTTGTACTTCCATACTATGCATGGTACCTCAGTGTTGTCCATTGCTGTCATATACAGTATATTTTTTTCTTGTAATATAGTTGACACAAGGAATTCTCATGCTCAAAAATACATACATGCCACAGAATCTGCCAGAAACGAATTTTACCTGGTTCCCAATACCCTTTACCATACTTGTCTAGATGGTTTTCACTCTTATTTAACCATTACTGCGGTGAAAGTTAAGATCTTGTCTTGATAGCATTTATTTGTGTTATTAAACTCTTGTAATAACGTAAATGTCTTTTGGCTTGCACGCAGTACTCTTTTGTGATCTGTACTGTGTGAAAGCTTAGATCTTGTCTTGATGGAATTGTTCTTTTGTACTGCAGTTCTTTACTGCAACAAGTGTCTTGTGGGGTTCTCTTGTCTTGATGGTTAGTGCTCTCTTGTGTCTTCTGCTGTGGCAAAAAAAAAAAAATACAAGTACTCTTTGATGGTTAGTACTGTTCTTTGTCGTTTGTAGACTTGCAAGATGCGGGTTGAACTCTTGTTTTGATGTTTTCCTCCCTCTTGTACCTTTTACTGTGGCAACAAAAATAATTACCGTAACTTCTCCTTAGATGGGTAGTACTGTTCTTTGTCATTTGTAGACATGCAGGATGATGTTTGAACTCTTGTCTTGATGGTTAGCGCTCTTTTGTGTCTTTTAATGGCAGTACTTCATTTGATGATTGGCACTATCTTGCATCATACAGTGGTGAAAATTAAGAACTTGTCTTGATGGTTATTGCTCGTTTGTATCTTTTACTGCTTGCTTTTCTAACTGATAGTTTGGGAATATCGAACATTTCTTAGTTAATTTATTTATTTGTTTACAAACATATTTTAAATGGATAACATCTTCATATAAAACTATTTTCTAACAAATGGTCCGTGAATTAAGTATAAAGCAAACAATTTACAAATAACAAGAAATATTTTTGGATTTTTTTACAATATTTGAATGAATTTAAAATACATTATAATTGAATTTGAAAATACACAGAAAAATATAATTATTTTACAGAAAGTTAGAAAGGCAAATAAAAGACAATATTTATACCAATGAAGAATTTAACAGTGTTATGGTACTTATAGTTTGACTGTGTCATGACAAAAGCTTAAAAAGCGGATGGCTGGTCAATAAATTTATTCTTAAGTGGTGTGCTTCAGACATATTTGCTTTTTAACTATGTCTTCATTGAGCATCGTTACACCATCCTCATCACCACTGCTTGGAATGGTTTGAACTGATAAGGTTGAAATTCTGCCATATCTTTCATTGCGACTATTTTTTTTAATGCAGTGTTGCTTGAGATGATGCTGTGACGTGTGTCAGTTTATTGTTCACAGCCTACATCATCTCATTGATTCACACTTGAGCACACATGGCAGTTGGTGGAGTTTAGATAAATGTTGAAAATGAAATGTAACACCACAGTTTACTTTGTTGCTGTACTAGTGGTAGAATTTAAGTTATATGTCCTGTAATAGGGATCAGAACTGAAATTGTATTCTCCATTACCAGCAGCTTCCGTTGCTTGTATCCCCTTATAAATAGCACCTTTGAGTTCAAGCTTTGTGTCCTCTATGATCACGGGATATCTGCTGCTTGACACGGGTAGGTAGCTTTTCTAGCACAATTGTCAGAAGCAGGTCTCCGTAGCTGTCTTTCTTTCCCAATGCTTTTAATCCATGCAAGTATATCTCTAGGTTGTGATGAAATTCTCTCACACTGGAAATTATGTCGCTTGGCTTTGGAAGTTCGTATAGCGCTTTCATGTATGTTGAGATAAGTTTATTATTAAGGATTAAGTTTATTTTAAAGGATTCATAACACTTCGTTATAACTGGCATTTCTAAGTTGAAGGCCTTGCAGTATCTGCAGTTGATGGTTTAATCAAGTATTAAAATTTCTGAATTTTTATCGTCATCGACAGCAACTTTAAATGCATAGATGCAAGATACCCTTTTTAAAATTTTGGTGTGCCTTCCATTTCCTCTACAGCATGTTTTCAGCAATCTCTTTGTGCAGTTCTTTAGGTAACATTACTGTGGTGAAAGTTAAGTTCTGGTCTTGATGATAGCATTCATTTGTGTTATTGTAATAACATTGTCTTTTGACATGCAAACAGTACTCATTTGTTTGTCCTTTTGTGTCGGTAATTGCAACATAACAGGGCATGTTACAACTGCTAATGCAGAAAACAACAGCTAATATGTACAAACACATGTAGTGAAAATAAAATCAACGCCAGCTTCTGGAAATGGATTGCCACTAACTTTTTAGTCGGAAAATTCCGTCTAAACCTACTTTGCATTCTTCCCATAAATGACTCAAGTAGGTTGGTAAAAAAATCAAAACAAGTCCTAGGCATTCGAAAATTCTTGCACCACTGACTGTTGTTAAAATGGCTAAGTAGATGCTCAACCAGTGGTCTGTGATTTTTCTTCTCACTTCACTAGATGTAGATGAGATGTCTGCACTTTCTGATATCATTTGACTAGATAAGTCTAGCTGTTTGTATTTTTCCATGTCGATCAAAAATTTGGTGATAATATGGTGTCCAGCATTGATGATTGTGCTTTCTATTTCCTCTGCAGCATGTCTTCAGCAATCTCTTTGTCCAGTTCTTTAGGTAACATTACTGTGGTGAAAGTTAAGTTCTGGTCTTGATGATAGCATTCATTTGTGTTATTATTGTAATAACATTGTCTTTTGACATAGTACTCACTTGGTATCTGTACTGGGCGAAATTTTAGTACTTGTCTTGATGGTTGTCCTTTTGTGTCTGTAATTGCAACATAACAGGGCATGTTACAACTGCTAATGCAGAAAACAACAGCTAATATATACAAACACATGTAGTGAAAATATAATCAACGCCAGCTTCTGGAAATGGATTGCCACTAACTTTTTAGTTGGGCAATTCCGTCTAAACCTATTTTGCATTCTTCATATAAATGGCTCAAGTAGGTTGGTCAAAAATTTAAAACAAGTCCTAGACATTTGAAAATTCTTGCACCACTGACTGTTGTTAAATTGGCCATGTAGATGCTCAACCAGTGGTCTGTGATTTTTTTCTCTAGCCGCCGTTCGTTATTAATTATTTCTCAAATTTAATAACATCACGTAGTAGTTATAATAATATATTTTCATACATTTCTTGTTCGCGAACGATTCGGTTGAGTTTAGACCTCAAAAAAAATTACTGAACTTTTTAAACTCGCTGTACTATATCAATAAATGAATGGATTTTCTCCGAACAAAGATGACAACAAAGCTTAATGGTGTATGCCTAGGCCTAGCCTATTAATTATATGTATGTACCATACATGTGAATATTTTTCTTGTTTTTGCTGAAATTTGACTTTCTTGTAGAAGTGTTTATTAGTACAGTTGAAGAAAATAATTTTTTTTTTTTTTTTTCAAAAACTACAAAATTAACTTCATAAATTTCTAACTGAACAGGGGTACCAAGCTATTTTTGTAGCAAAAACACTAGTTAAAATATGCCCACAGGAAGATGTCAAAGAAGATGCGTTGCATATGGCTGTGCAAAGGCTAGTGTGTTTGTCATCTCAAATTAACACGAGCACTCCCTCGTTAGTTGCCATGTCTACATCATCGAAAATACAGTAGTGCAATATTTTACGAATGCCCGCATAGGAACCTTGGCCCTCGCAGAGGTCTGGTTCTTCTCACTTCACTAGATGTAGGAGGTGTTTGCACTTTCTGATATCATTTGACTAGATAAGGGTAGCTGTGTATTTTTCCATGTTGATCAAAAATTTGGTGATAATATGGTATCCAGCATTGATGATTGTGCCTTCCATTTCCTCTGCAGCATGTCTTCTGCAATCTCTTGTCCAGTTCTTTAGGTAACATTACTGAGGTGAAAGTTAAGTTCTGGTCTTGATGACAGCATTCATTTGTGTTATTATTGTAATAACATTGTCTTTTAACATGCACACAGTACTCATTTGGTTGTCCTTTTGTGTCTGTAATTGCAACATAACAGGGCATGTTACAACTGCTAATGCAGAAAACAACAGCTAATTTGTACAAACAAATGTGGTAAAAATAAAATCAATGCCAGGTTTTGGAGATGGATTGCCACTAAGGTTTTAGTTGGAAAATTCCGTCTAAACCTATTTGGCATTCTTCCAATGAATGGCTCAAGTAGGTTGGTCAAAAATTAAAACAAGTCCTAGGCATTCGAAAATTCTTGCACCACTGACTGTTGTTAAAATGGCCAAGTAGATGCTCAACCAGTGGTCTGTGATTTTTCTTCTCACTTCACTAGATGTAGATGAGGTGTTTGCACTTTCTGATATCATTTGACTAGATAAGGCTAGCTGTTTGTATTTTTCCATGTTGATCAAAAATTTGGTGATAATATGGTGTCCAGCATTGATGATTGTTCCTTCTATTTCCTCTACAGCATGTCTTCAGCAATCTCTTTGTGCAGTTCTTTAGGTAACATTACTGTGGTGAAAGTTAAGTTCTGGTCTTGATGATAGCATTCATTTTGTGTTATTATTGTAATAACATTGTCTTTTGACATGCACACGGTACTCATTTGGTTGTCCTTTTGTGTCTGTAATTGCAACATAACAGGGCATGTTACAACTGCTAATGCAGAAAACAACAGCTAATATGTACAAACACATGTAGTGAAAATAAAATCAACGCCAGCTTCTGGAAATGGATTGCCACTAACTTTTTAGTCGGAAAATTCCGTCTAAACCTACTTTGCATTCTTCCCATAAATGACTCAAGTAGGTTGGTCAAAAAATCAAAACAAGTCCTAGGCGTTCGAAAATTCTTGCACCACTGACTGTTGTTAAAATGGCCAAGTAGATGCTCAACCAGTGGTCTGTGATTTTTCTTCTCACTTCACTAGATGTAGATGAGATGTCTGCACTTTCTAATATCATTTGACTAGATAAGGCTAGCTCATGTCAATCAAAAATTTGGTGATAATATGGTGTCCAGCATTGATGATTGTGCTTTCTATTTCCTCTGCAGCATGTTTTCAGCAATCTCTTTCTCCAGTTCTTTAGGTAACATTACTGTGGTGAAAGTTAAGTTCTGGTCTTGATGATAGCATTCATTTGTGTTATTATTGTAATAACATTGTCTTTTGACATAGTACTCACTTGGTATCTGTGCTGGGCGAAATTTTAGTACTTGTCTTGATGGTTGTTCTTTTGTGTCTGTAATTGCAACATAACAGGGCATCTTACAACTGCTAATGCAGAAAACAACAGCTAATATGTACAAACACATGTAGTGAAAATAAAATCAACGTCAGCTTCTGGAAATGGATTTGAGTTCAAGCTTTGTGTCCTCTATATGATCACGGGATATCTGCTGCTTGACACGGGTAGGTAGCTTTTCTAGCACAATTGTCAGAAGCAGGTCTGAGTAGCTGTCTTTCTTTCTCAATGCTTTTAATCCATGCAAGTATATCTCTAGGTTGTGATGAAATTCTCTCACACTGGAAATTATGTCGCTTGGCTTTGGAAGTTCCTATAGCGCTTTCATGTATGTTGAGATAAGTTTATTATTAAGGATTAAGTTTATTTTAAAGGATTTCTAACACTTCGTTATAACTGGCATTTCTAAGTTGAAGGCCTTGCAGTATCCAGTTAATGGTTTAATCAAGTGTTAATATTTCTGAATTTTTATCGTCATCGACAGCAACTTTAAATGCATAGATGGAAGATACCCATTTTAAAATTTTGGTGTGCCTTCCATTTCCTCTACAGCATGTTTTCAGCAATCTCTTTGTGCAGTTCTTTAGGTAACATTACTGTGGTGAAAGTTAAGTTCTTGTCTTGATGATAGCATTCATTTTGTGTTATTATTGTAATAACATTGTCTTTTGACATAGTACTCACTTGGTATCTGTACTGGGCGAAATTTTAGTACTTGTCTTGATGGTTGTTCTTTTGTGTCTGTAATTGCAACATAACAGGGCATCTTACAACTGCTAATGCAGAAAACAACAGCTAATATGTACAAACACATGTAGTGAAAATAAAATCAATGTCAGCTTCTGGAAATGGATTGCCACTAACTTTTTAGTTGGAAAATTCCATCCATTTCCAGTCTAGGCCTCATTATATGAATGATCCTCCACACTCGCTGATGCCTCGAATTGTGCACAGTAAGAATGGTCAGTCGTCGTTTGCTGCTAGTGCTAGCATTGCACTCAAAGGGCTAGGACTAAGCCGAAACAATTCTTCAAAATCCTCGTCAAAAAATATGCAAGTCTGTTTTAAAAGGATGCATGCATCATCAGGATTAATAGTCGCTGGTTTGGGCAGAAAACTGGTCGTTGTTGTGGACGAGAATTTGGTACGAGAGTAATGTTGTTTTGACCTCATATTCCAGGATGCTCTTTATAAATTTACGCAACTTCTGTTAATTACATGATAACCATGAACGCCTAGAAAACCTACGCCTTGGGCTACCACGAAATGCATAGGATTATCGCTAAAAAAAAAATCAAGTATGAAAAAAAGAACAATGAATTAACTAATGAGGATGAAATAACTATATGCAATTGATATCTATTTGCTGTATACTTAATTTTTTAAAAAATATTCAGTATTATATAATATATAATACTATATTATATGTCCAGGAAATATAACAATAATATGATATTGTTACATTTTGTAGGAAGTTGTAACTACAGAGAGTAAGTTCTTTATGTTGTGGATGGGAGTTGTCTTTCAAATATTTACTGTATATAAATGAATAATGGCCTCTCTGAAAGATATTATTCAATCCTATTTACTTCATTTTCATCCAGCATTGTGGTATGCTTGTGTTTTTATACTCCCTAATGTCATGTAAAGTGAACATCATGAAAAGGAACTATCAATCATGAGTTTCATAAGTATACTTGATTGGTAAATAGTGTCTAAGGAGTGGTTTGGCACAGTGGTTGCGGTTTTGCTTCTAAACCTTTGAGGTCGAAGGTTCAATCCCTCAATGTGCATATCACTATGGTTGTCTCTCTCAACCCAGGAGTACAAGTGGGTAAGTTTAAACACAAAATGCGCTGATTACAGCGGCAGGGAGCTGAATATGTGTCCCATTTGTTTGATCCAGTGACTAGGGGTAATATATTAATGTGAAGCACTTAGAGGCCATGTTGGCATGAAGAGCTATAAAATTCAAACATCATTATTATTATATTCCAAAGTTTTTATTCATTTACTTGAAGTAAAATGTCTTTTTATTCAGCCTTAGTTGACCTATGAGATTTTAACAAGGGAAATCTTTCAATCTTTAACATACATAAACAGTCATGGCTTCTACAGTTAGTGGGAATATCTGGGAGAACTCAGTTACAAACTTTGGGTTCAACCCACAGCCTTGTACAGTTTGTATCTCCCACAAATTAAAGGCCATATTTTGGACTATGGTTCTCATAGTCTTTAGCAGCTTTGGTTTTTAATAGAAAAAAATGTGTAACGATAAAAGATAGGTGTTAATCTAGGGCAATAGAAATGTGGTCTTTATTTGAAGGGTGTCTTTAATTATATGTGGCAAAGACAAGCCAAACCAGTCACTCATAGCAAATCTTGTTTCAAAAATAATGGCTAAAACATGATGGAATGTCAACATCTTTTTAATCTATTTTATTGCTCTAAATTAACCTTTATATCATGCTATGCTGTTATTTACCTCATTGTCAATGTTAAAACAGCAATTTTAAATGATCTGGTGATGGTTTTTGCCTGAGAAATGCCTGAAGAAATCATAAACTTTGTTTGAAGGCGATTTCTCAAATATTGTTCTTTAAACCGATGTATGTTAAAAACTCCCAAAACTTTATAACGAAATGTTGGATTGTAATAATACTTTTACCATTTTATAGCTCTTATTTTACTTTGCCACATATGTCTTTTTGTAATTTTAAAAAATCAAAGTTTATGGCAGAACTTTTGTGTGCTATGACAAAATTATCTAAATGGCGTATAGTTTCACTTATTTGAATTAGCAACTTAAGAAGCTATTTGGAAATGGAATAACAAAAAGCAAATAAGTCAACAACACTATTATGTATTTATGTTTTTTATTAAAATATTTTACATATTACACTATACCAATATTACTGTGCAACTTAGTGAAAAGTAGGTCTAGATCTAAGTCCTTATTGATTGTAGGCTTAATATTGACTATCTACATTACTGTGAAATAAATGTATATTGTGTAATATTTTATTGAAAAATCAAAATTGCTGAACTAAATAATATATATATATATATATATATATACTGGGCAGCGCCAGGAATTCCCCGTCAAGGGGTCCACAAGTTCCAGTTCCACCCCCCCCCCAATTCTTCAGGGAAGTCTAGCCTTCTCCCCACCTCCATTAGGGAAAAATTGTGTTTAATAAGGTATTCTATTTAAAAAGGATAATTTGGTAGAAAACCAACCAAGTTAAAAGGCCCCTATCGGGGAAGATCTGGTGGTACCACCGCAACCCATACAATCGTGATAGTATACAAACACCTCGCACATATGGTAGCACAGCTCGCACTAAACAGTTTTTAATCCCTAAAATTTGACAGCTTAGTATTAAGTCATACCTAAATTGTACATTCAGCCGTCGAGATTTAATTTTTCCCCGGACCCGCTAGCGCCACCCATGATTAGGACAATTGTCTAAACACACATAGTATTACAATATAACTATAACTATAGTTATCACAGATCTTATATGGATTGGATCTAAACAAAATTAGCAAGTACTGTAATTGGACTGGTGTAGTAACCATAGTCAATGCATAATAATTAAATTGACCATGAAATATATCAGAATACTGATTTGGAAACTTTCATGACCTAAACAAATTACCATTATTCGGACTGGTAAAAAGGTACAATCTAGACAATTCAAATTAGTATATTGAGTGACTGTGACTTTGCCAAAGTTTCAATCTAAAAATAAATCGTGATCTTTATTTAAAAAGAAACATAATCAGAAAACATAAATACAGTACCAATAAAATCTGGGAATGATAGGCCTAAGAGTTACCAAATCATTAGTAGCATTACGATAATTAACACGGCTTTGCAATTTAAAGTGATTTTGGATGAAACATGCATTTTGCAGAGACATGCGTGATCATAAATTTCTCACGCTTTTAGTACAAGTCTATGCTTGATAACAAATTCAGGGGAAAATGTATTTAAAATCAGAAGTTATTAAGAATACAAAAACATTCATGTACATTCATGCAGCAACTTGAGTTTTTAGAAGGCTTTCATTGTCTCGTTCAAGAATCAATTCACTAAGAAAATTTCTTTTTCCCTACCAAAACAACCCAGCCAACCACACACTTAGTAGAAACTGGAGGTACATGCGGTCTTGCGTAAACCATTTATTATGTGACTGAAACCCGGACCCCCAGCAGGGCTCCGCCCCTGGACCTAGTTTTCCCCGTCTAAGCCAAATGGTGTATAGTCACGCATTTCAAATCTCTCATATTGGTAACTATATAATTACTGCTATTACTTCATCAAGCATTGGAATATGTATTGAAATGTTGATAGGCCTCATGCCGTATTGTATTTGTGATGCTGTATGCAAGTAACCATACATTATCAGTCCGACCTCGTTTAACATCCAGTTCCTTATATGCGACATTAATATTCTATAATTTAAAAAAAACACGATATTACAAGCCCTTTGCTACATTTTTAATCCATCATACATAATTTACATCAAACGACTCTTCCTCCTCTCGTTCATCCAATTGGAAAGCTTCATTCAACATGTTACTCGACTATGCTTCCGTGAGCTTAACTTTCCGGAAGAGCTGAACAGAATGCAAATTAACCCCACGAAACGTATCACTTACTTCATACAGCTTAACGCATTAACCAACATCAGCTGTTGAAGGTAAGGTAAGAAGAAGGACATCGCTTAGGTGCATTCTGTGGTAATATTTCTACGAATAGGCTGGAAATGGCTAGAGTCATTTGCGAAGAAAGAAAGGTAAGTGTGAATGTAGATACCCATATTTTTATAATATTTGATTATACAGGTATAGTTTGCTCCACTGAATTGCAGACGATAGACGAAACACATTAACCGTTTTCCACTTTATACTACGTAATACTGGATATAAGTCACCCAAGAAACGTGCACGTTCCCATCAACATACCAAACGCTAGATAATGCATTCTCTGAAATAATGAAAATTATAGACCAGTAATATTTTAAAAAATGTAATTCTGATGCACATTACGATTGTTGAATTCAGATTGGTAATCATTGACAGTTGTTGTCTTCTACAAAGACTTGTTCACGAAACGTTTAAACCTATGTTACTTTAGGCAGATGCTATATATACACAATAGGACCTCCTTGGAGAAATGTTATATTTTTACGCATAAATTTGTGAACAGTGATTGGAGATGGGCACACGTTTGCCTGAGGCAATGCTGTAAACATTCATGTTAAATAGAATCAAGCACGAAATTATCATTTTGCCGAAGGGTTTTTACGCTTACATTATTCAGTGAGCAGCGTGTCATCCTCTGTGACATAGATGCGCACGTGAAGTCGCAATATTGAAACAATATAGTAATAATGAGATAAATACACCGGCATACCTTCACCATTATTATTATAGGTGATGGTATGCTTGTATATTATGAGTAGACCTCCTCAACGCTGAGATTTGAATTTCGGTTCATAATCATATTGTTGTAGGCCTATATATTTCTGTATTTTAATCACCCGCTGTTTTAGGCCTGGTAACGGTTGACTATCACGAAAATTACGCGAATGTTGCAGAAAATCAAAGTTTCAATTTCGATTGTGATACGTATTCTCAGTATTATTTTTACACAAATAAGGGTTGTAACTCACTCCACCTTTTTATCGGTATGCGTTTCCACTACAACAGAACAACCGGCCCAAGAGACAAACTATTTGATTATGACTTCCTGTCTGCTTTACCTACAGTATATTTTTTATGGCTACACACTGTAGCCTATATGTGGTCTGTGACATTAGTTTTTCAAGAAAGGTTTTATAGCAGTTAATGTCCTAATGTATTATCCTTTGAAAATATGTAAGATGCAATTAATTGAGCCATATACCGGTATACCTTACTAATTAAAAATAAATATTTAAAACCTGCTGGTAAGTATTAATGGTATAGAATTTAATTTATCAGGGATTAGTGTATATATGTTGGTATTCACTGCATGGTGTTATAACTCTGCAATCGGTATAAACACACCTAAGAGATTCATTCATATCAAATAGTATATTACTAGCTACATAATGATTTTGTAAGGCCAAACTAAAAACGAGACCATGTTTCTCGTTTTCTGTATCTTTTTTGGGCCATTGGTTTTTTTTCACACAGAAAATCCTGCTGACAAATTAAGATAATATAACAGAAATCAAAAATAACATACCAAGTATCGACGACAATTAGGCATAAAACAGTTTTTTTTTTATTTAAATATTCTAAATGTTGGTTTATGAAATATTCGAAACTAATTTTAAATAAAAAGGAAGTCGATTTAAAATGGATCGCCCACTTAGGCCTATTGGA